CAGCATTGGCGTGGGACAAATGGTGAAAGGGTAGATAAAGGAAGGACCGGGGTATCCGGGTTGAGGAAAGTGATGTGGAAAGGAAGCCTGTGAAACAAGAAAGGACAGGCGGGTGGGGATCAGCGGCTGGTGGGGCATGGGCAATGAGCAGTGAGAGGAAGGTCCTAGCTGTGTGCACCCCATTCGTACCTTTGGAGAAGCACCATTACCCCAAAGGCACACATGTATCTGTTAGCAGGTCCTGTGGGTACTACTTGGGTTTGTCTGGTTCTCTCTGACGCTGGTCTTCGTAACAGTGTGCCTTTTTCTTGTCTGCCCAAGGCCACCCTGCAGCGGCCCTGTGCTGGAAGGGGAGGCGGAAAACCCAGTGAAGAAGGGCCTGTGCTGGGAGATCCGTGAAGGGGGCAATTCCCTGGCACTCGGGGGTCCTGGGCCGCTTCTCCATCTGTGAGCAGGACTGCGACAGCCCTTCCCAAAAGAGAATGAGGAAAAGAGTGGAATAAAGTCTCCCAGGCTCCCTGACGGAGTGGGAGGCCCAAGGATGCACTCTTTGCAGTTGGGGTGTTATAAGCCAGTGTTTGAGACATTTAGAGCAAATGATTAGTTTTTAAAGCATGAGATTTATTTTAAGAGCCTTTTAAGAGGTGCCTTGTGTGTGTAGGGCCTCCTGAAAATGATTCTATCTGACACTGTGGATTTATCTTGCTGAGTGATTTCTTTTGGGTCTAGAAAGCACAGCTGTGATTTTGGTGTCCTGAACAAAGCTGGCTACTGCAGGCATCGCCGCTCCTTATGAGTGAAGGTGCTTGCATAAGCCACATGGGCAGGTCTGGGAGCTGTGGACCACCTCCTATTCAACCCCGGGATGCGGGTGGGCGGGTCTGGGAGCTGTGGACCACCTCCTATTCAACCCCGGGATGCGGGTGGGCAGGTCTGGGAGCTGTGGACCACCTCCTATTTCTACCTGGGGATGCGGCTGGGCAGGTCCAGGAGCTGTGGACCACCTCCTATTTCTACCCGGGGATGCGGCTGGGCAGGTCCAGGGTCTGTGGACCACCTCCTATTTCTACCTGGGGATGCGGCTGGGCAGGTCTGGGAGCTGTGGACCACCTCCTACTTCTACCTGGGGATGCGGCTGGGCAGGTCCAGGGTCTGTGGACCACCTCCTATTTCAACCCCGGGATGCGGGTGGGCAGGTCTGGGAGCTGTGGACCACCTCCTATTTCTACCTGGGGATGCGGCTGGGTCAGCGCGCGGGATGCAGAGCAAGTGGCACAAGGTCAGGTCTCAGCATCTGTGGGCCACCTCCCCTCTCTGCCTGGGGAATTGTGTGTGTGTGGGGGGTTGGCGGGTGCCATATAAAGCAGATGGACACCAGCAGGGGCTTCAGTGGGAAGCTAAACAGATCCTTCCCTCCATCTGCTTCTCTTAGCAGTCGGCTTGACCGAAGCCCAGTGAAGTAGAAGCAAATTGCTCTCTGCAGCGGCTGTCATGGTTGTGGGGTGGAGGAGTGTGAGCGGGGGTGTATGGGATGGGGGTGGTGGTGAGAGCACGCTCAGGAATGGGGCAGGCCTGGCTGGCTTCCCTGCCTGTCACTTCCTAGCCTGCGACCCTGGGCAAGCTAGTTAGCCTGTGTAATCACTGTGCCTTCTCTGTACTGGGGTGATATTAGCGTCCACCTCCTAGGGCTGTTCTGAGGTTTAATGAGTTCACGCAGGTAAAGTGCTTCTCCTTTTGCTTGGCCCAGACTAAGAACTCCAAACCACCTCTGAATGTCCCTGGACGACTGTGATGATGCTTGAACTGATCTCTCTTCTTCTGTTCTTGTCTCTTTGTAGTCCTTCCCACAAAGCAACCAGACTGACCTTTTGAAAATGTAGAGTGTATCACGTCACTTTCCAGCGGTTTCGTGTTGCTCTGACATCTCCCCCACCCCGGCCTCGTGCTCCTGGCTCTAGCCACACTGGATGATCTGTTTGTCCAACGCCAGGGACGGTCCAGCCCCTGAGCTCTTGCCCTTGCCGGTCCCTGTGCCGCGCACGCTCTGCCCTCCATCTTTGCACGGCTGCTCCATCCCGAGAAGGGAGCTCCTTTCCCGCCATCTACCACACCACTGGGTTTTATCTTCATCATTATCTGAAAATACGCTGGTCATTCACCGCTTCTCATACGTCCCGGATCTCCTTTCTTACCCCTGCTGTTACCCCCTTTCCTCCCTTAGAATTCAGGCCCCTTGAGCCATCTTGTCTTTTTGCTTCACTGCTGTGTCCCCAGAACCTTGTTTGGTCCTCCACGTGTACCTAGTAGGTGCTTAGTGAATACTGGTTGGATCAATGGAGGAATGAATGTGTCTTGTCCTGCTCATCTCCATCCTAGACTTCCCTCAAAGTCCGGCTCAAGACTCAACTCACTAGGAGGTCGTTTCTGACCATCTCGACTTTCAGGACTGTCTTCCCTCCACTTCATGCCTCTGAATCGAGTTGGCGATCTCCCTCCTCTTTCTTCCTCCCTCCCTTCCACCTGTCTCTGGCATGCATCAATTTTTCATATCTGAGAGGTGCCCACATCTTTAAGGTTTTATTTTAGTGCCCCTGGATGAGATAGCGAGCCACAAGCTGAACGCAAGCTGGCCCTCCTGCAGCTCGTGCAGAGGCCTGGATGCAAGGGTGGCTCTCCCCTGGAGGAACGCAAGGTCCTGGATGCCCTGAGGGATGCTGCTGTGGGGACAGAGGGGTGAAGTGCTACATGTTTAGATGGTACCTGGAAAGCCCCCTCACAGTTAATAGTTGGATATGAGTGAAATGTGTACGTGAGTTCCTTTGTATTCCTGTAGCTTCTCTTTAGGTTCTAAATTATTTCAAAATAAAATGTTAAAAATTCTTTCCCTTCAAAAGACGTATAAAGTGAAATTTAACAGTCTTTTTCTTTACAGTTTTTGTTTTTCATGCCGTGCTTAGAAAAGCCTTCATCTCAAGATGATAAGAATAGTCACTCATGTTTTCTTTCTACGTCATCATCTACTTGTGTTGAAATCTTTGATCTATCTGGAATTTTGGTGTGGCAGCAGGAAAATGATCCAGGTTTTTTCTTCTAAATGTCTAACCAATTTTCCCCACAACTGTTATTGAATAATCAATCTTTTCTTGCTGGTGTCAAAGGATATGTTTATTGTGTGCAAAAAGTCCTTGTATATCCCATACGTGTGTAGTGTTTCTCAGCACACCCTGGACTTGTGTGTGTTCCTTTGATGTGTCTGTTTGTGTGTTTCTTGGTTCTTATTTACTCCCTCCTCCATGATTTTTCTGGTGATTTTGGGGTATTTATTCTTCCAGAAGAATACTTTAACTTGGGGACTATTTGATTTCAGGTAACATACAAACCAATTTAAAAGGGTTCATTGGGCGTATACAAGAGTTTGTCATGTAATTGGAGTAAATGTGGAACAACCAGGCCTCGGTAAGGGTGAAAAATCAAGAAGGACCTTGGTAAATGTGGCAGAAATATTCAGACTATCGCCCCAGTCCTCTGCCTTTGCTATTAAATGATTAAATCTCAACCACCAGCTTTAAGTCTAGTTCAAATTCCTGGGAGAAATAATTGAGTGGGTCACTGGCCATCCAACGACTTGGTCTCCCTGATTCAGCGGCCTGTAGAGGTTATGTGTTACAAATGTGGACGCTGGAGACCCTTCCTACAAGGGAAAGCTCCCAGAACATGAATGTATGGGTTTGGCAGATATCCTAAATAATGTCGAGTAAAAGTTTTGCAATATTGAGTCTTTTAGTCTAAGAACAATGTAGGTTTTTCCATTTATTCAAATCTCTTATGACCCTTCATAGAAACTTTTAGCTTTTTAAAAAAACATTGTGCCTAAATATATGTTTAGATATTTTATGCTTTTTGTTATTTTCAATGACATCTTTTTTTCATTATATTTATCTGTTTGGTTGACTAGTTATTTTTTCTATATAAGAAAGTAATTAGTTTTTATATATAATTTAACCAGTTACTCTATTGAATTTTCTAATCTTTTTTTTTTTTTTTTTTGTGAGGAAGATCAGCCCTGAGCTAACATCCGATGCCAATCCTCTTCTTTTTGGCTGAGGAAGATTGGCCCTGGGCTAACACCCGTGCCCATTTTCCTCTACTTTATATGGGAAGCCACCACAAGATGGCCTGACAAGGGATGCATCAGTATGCGCCCAGGATCCAAACCTGCAAACCCCAGGCAGCCGAAGCCGAGCATGCGCACTTAACCGCTGTGCCAGGGGGCCGGCCCCTGTACTCATTTCTAATTGTTATCAGTTGTTTCTCCTGGGTTTGCTAGGTGTAGAGTCAGATTATCTGCAAATAAAGATTGTTTTGTCTTCTTTATAATATATTCCTATATTTTATATTCTTTTTAAATTCTAACATTTTTATGATTTGAAAGAAGCCAGTAAGTTTATTTTCATTTTTTAAACCAAGAAAAAGGACAGAAATATTGTGTTACATTTTGGGAAGTCCAACAAAAATGTGAAGCAAGATATTGAACATCTTGTTGGACTTAGCTGGAAATAATCTGTCCGATCAACAAACCAACCATCCATCTATCCATCCATCATCCATCCATCCATCCAAAACATGTACATCGCTGCCTTTTTTATACCATGGATCATTATTGATACAATAAGAAAGATACAGTCCTTGCCCTTAAAGACTTTGGATAGAGAAAAACAAAAGCAAACAGTTATAATAATGTATAAGGGAGGGCACATGGTATTCATGGAAGCACATAAAAAGGGGCACCTGAACCAGCCTTAGACAGTCAGGGAAGGCTGCTAGAGGAGGTGACATCTAAAGAGATTTCTGAAGGAAACATGTGAATGGAAAAAAGACCACACTCTCATCATGCCATTTAGTTGCTTTGAAATTCTTGAGTTGTAAGCACGCCAGTGTTTTCAGCCATTAGCCATTCTGAAATCTTCATGAATCTCAAGATTTTCCATTTGCCTTTGCAGCTCAGGGGCCCAGTGGCACTCTGGGGAACCTGGCCCTGGATACAAGTCTGCTGGAGGAGTTCTTGGGCAATGATTTTGATTTGGGGGCCATGTAAGTAATGAGAGCACTGCTCTCTGTCTGATGTTTTAAAAACTACGAAACAGTTAAATGATCTGGAAAGTGTTCCCTCCTTTTCTGTTTTCCAGAAGAGCTTGTAGAGTTGGTATTACTTCTTCTATAAATCTTTGGCAGATTTCGCCAGTGAAGCCAGCCAGGCCTGGAGTTTCCTTTATAGGAAGGTCCTCCCCTTCCAATTCAATATCTTTAATAGATACAGGCTATCTGGGTTACCTACCAGTCGTTATCAGCTGAGGCATTTATATCTTCCAATGAATTGTCCATTTCATCTAAGTTGTTGAATTCACTAGCATAAAGTTGTTCATCCTATTTCCTTATAATTTTAGTGGCTGTATAATCTATAGTGATAATCCTTTTGCTATTCTTGATATAAGTAATTTGTACCCTTTTTTTTCTTGCTCAGTCTCTTAGGAGGTTTATCAGTTTTCTTAACCTTTCGAAGTACCAGCTTTTGGTTAAATTTATATTCTTAATTGGTTTTCTGTGTTCTATCTCATTGATTTCTGCTCTTATTTTCTGATATTAATATAGCTAGTCTAGCTTTCTCTTTTTATTTTTAATTTACATGCAGTAAGATTCAATTTTTTCTTGTGAGTTTCAACAAATTCATGAAGTCATGTAACTCCTACCATAATCAGCACTCACAACCGTTCCCTCGCCAGAAACATTTCTCTTACGCTCCCTTTTTGTGGTCAAACCCACCACCCACCTTGAGCCCTGATGACCACTTGACTGTTCTCTGTCCCTAAAGTTTTGCTTTTTCTGGAATGTCACCTAAATGAAACCATATGGTATATAACATTTTGAGTCTGGCTTCTTTCATTAAGCATAATAGCTTTGATCAAGACTTCATTCCTTTTTATTGCTGAGAAAGACTCTGCTGAATGGTTATAACATGGTTTGTTTATCCAGTGGCCCATTCAAGGACATTTGGATCATTTCCAGTTTGGGGCAGTTATGAATAACTGCTATACATATTCACGCACAGGTGTTTATGTGATCAAGAGTTTTAATTTCTCTAGGGTAATACTGAAAATAAAGACTGCTGGGTCATATTGTAAGTGTAAGCTTAACTTTATAAAATTGCCAGATTTTCTAGAGTGGCCATACCATTTTGCATTACCACTAGGATTGTATGAGATCCCCAGTTGTTTCTCTTCATTGTCAGTTCTTGGTATTATCAGTTTTAAAAATTTTATTACGGCCATTCTAATAGGCTTTTAGTGGTATATCATTGTGTTTTAATTTGCATTTTCCTAATGACTAATGATGTTGAGTATCATTTCATGTGTTTGTTTGCTATTCATATATTTTCTTTGGTGAAGTATCTGTTCAAATTTTTTGCCCATTTAAAAAAATTGGTGTTGTTTTCTTTTATTTGAGTTTAGAGAACTCTTTAAATATTCTGAATCTAAGAACTTTGTCAGATATGTGATTTGTGAATATTTTCTCCCAGTCTGCAGCTTATGTTTTTATTCTCTTAGTGTCTTTTCCCAGAGCAAAAGTTTTAAATTTTTGTGATATCCATTTATCATATTTTTCTTATATGGGTTTTACTTTATATCTAAGTAATATAGATATTGCCTAATCTATGTTCCCAAAGATTTTCTCCTTTTTTTTCTTAATTGATGTTTTAATGGTTTTTAACATTGTGAAATTTTTGGTTGTACATTTTTGTTTGTCCATCACCATATATATGTCTCCCTTCACCCCTTGTGCCCACCCCCCACCCCC